CTCGTAAGGTGGCCGCGAAAGTTGTTAGTGCTGGGTTTGGGGATTTTCTGAGCCACTTGCCCGTGGCCGATAGAGATAGGAAGTTGCCTGTCGCACTTGCGGAGCGATGGTGGGACTCAACAAACTCCTTCCATTTGCCTTTCGGAGAGATGACACTGACACCCTTGGACTTCACCTGTATAACCGGTGTTGCAGTGGGCGGCTTGCCCATTACGTGGGATTACAATGTTAGGGAAAATGCCAATTACATCAAGGAGCAATTGGGTTGGGTGCCAGCTTTTGCTTCTGCCGGTGCCATCAGAGTTACCGATATATTGTCATTCTACAAAGACAAGGCGATTGACGAGAACGACGACGTCCAGCTGGCACATCTGACTAGAGCTTTCTTTCTATACATGCTTGGCCGCACTTTACTTAGCAACACGGCCGAAACAATTCACCTGTGCTGTCTGCCAGCGCTGGAGGACGTAGATCGTATAGGGGATTATAACTGGGGAGGGGCGGGGATGGCAACCTTGTACAGATTTATGTCCGCCGTCTCCCGACGCCTGACGAAAAGCCTAGGCGGCTACAGCTTCGTTTGGGAGGTAAGTCCAGATTTGCCTTCACTTTGTGTCAATTCGACATTTCCATGTTCCGTTACATAAACTTTTCTAGCAGTTAGTGTTCATCTCGAACGGTGGACATAATTTGTACGACCACGTGTAGGTGTGGGCTTACGAAATTCTTCAGTTAAGTCCGTATAAACTGAAACGGGACGAGAGGGACGTATTGCCCAGAATGTGGCGATGGCGCTCGTGTAATAGAGCCAATCGACTAGCACCGTCTACGGTCGAAAATTTTCGCCGCGCAATTGACACCATTGACCCGGAAAATGTTAGTTCCCCTACTTAGAACATCCAATAGCTTCTACCGCCTAAGTGTTAACAGTTGTTATGAATTTGTTCCGCCTGTGGAACAAACCAATGTTACATCGCTTGTTAATTGTGTGTCATAGGTGAACTGGCTGCCCTTCCCTGCAATGGCATTGCCCAGTCGGTATCTCAAATCCAAGGAACTAACTGCAACGAGATTGCTTTTGGATGGCCCCATGGGAAGATTTTACTACCTGGGCGAGAGGGTTATTAGGCAGGTGTATGCAGGTGTATGTGCAAAGCAACCTCCCCATCGGCCATCAGATATGTACAGCACTGATACAATTTCGGGAAACATGCTACATGATGTGCTTCGTGGACTGCCCATTGCAAGCCTATACCCAGATCCCCCTCCATATGCTACGTATGAGGAGTTTGTGTGCAGCAGGCTAATGAGACCAATGACTTCCTCCACGTTGGCACCCAGTGGGAAGGAGTGCGTAATTCATATATGTGACCAGTTGCCACTAAGTGAGGCCACAACACCGTCACTGAAACATCCAATTAATTACCCTCCCTGGTCTGTGTTGTGCATACAAACTGATGGATCACTGGAGCAAGAGGGCATTCACAGAGTTGGTGGCGATGTAATAGGGTTGCCTCTTCCATGTGCTGTTGGTGATGTGGTATGGCATTCTTCGCCCTGTACTTAACCCGCCATTTAATTTGCGCAATTTGTGTACAATTAATACAGTCATCTGTGTTGTTTCCGCTTAGGTGCCTAGACACTGGTACGAGGACCTGCTTGTTCAGTGCATGGGCCTGAGAAAGAAAGTCTTAGAAAAAAGTGCAGAAATATTTCGTTTGGCATCCAATGTGTCGGACAACACACAAGTGGTGGACCAAAGGCTACATCAAATACAGGTAATTTTGGAAAGTGCATTGAAGCTCCAAAAGGGGACAGGGAAACGCTGCCTTCGCGGTGAACTTGGTGGCCGGAAATCCTGTGTTTGTAAGCGTCCCAACACAAGTGCCGGGACGCAGACATTTACGGATGAGCTTGGTAGAGCCAAAGCTCACGAAAGTCAGGGAATTCATAATGCCAAAGACTGAGCACCCATGGCCCCAAACCGCAAACAAGGTTGTGTAGCCGGAGGAATGAGTATGCAAACTTCTTGGTACTGCCCACCAACAAAGCTAAGCTGTGAGCAATCGCCACGTGTGTTGCGTAATTCTGATACAATTTTAAACTTGAACACGGAAAATGTTAACAGTTGACAGATAATTCCCACAACTAATTTATAGCCATGTTCTTATATTTCGTCTGTCCCAGATTGTTCTTCACCTACAATTCAAGTTTGCAGTGAAATTAAATATTTACAACAAAACAATTTAAATGGAAGTTGTTGTTATTATAAATCTATCACATTTAATGCATTACAATTTTCGAACTTATTTATATGAAATGACGGAAAAGCCTTTTGTATGAATGCAACTCCAACACAAGAATATGAGTTCAAGTTTGTGCAAACTAGTTACTTGAAATATTGTACTCCATTCGAAATGTACAAATGGTGTAAAAAAAATTAATCGTTTTCAGCTCTGTTTCGTTACTTTGTGCACAAGACACATTTCCCTTTTTCTTTCACTTCAACAACTTCCTCTGCAAATTTCCGAGACTAAGCTCCTACTGCAGCAACATCCCTATCTATAATTACATAATATATATAATTACTAATTAACTAATATTTTACACAGTTATAACGTATATAAGATTAAATTAAATCATTTTGCAACCTTATATGCATAATAATAAACATATTTATTATTATATGAATTATTAATCTTACATACACATATATATTGTAAGGGCTAATTTCAGAAACATCCCCTGAATTAGCTTGTGGAAAAATGGGAAAACGGATGATTTATGGAGAAACGGCATAAAGAGCTGGTGTTTTAGTGCAGACCTGGAGTACTTTTTTTACCCGATACATAAGCAGGGTCAAAAATTCACTGCGCTAGTTAACCAATTTTTCATATATAAACAAATTTACTAAAATTAAAATAGCGTGTTTCAAAGTTGCGCTTCTATTTCAAAGTCAACTACTCTTAAACAGCTTTTACTAAAATTAAAATAGCGTGTTTCAAAGTTGCGCTTCTATTTCGAAGTCAACTACTCTTAAACAGCTACTGCTTAATTCATATAATGGAACAAACCCGTAAAGAACTGGTATATTATAGCAAACAATTTTTGTTGTTTACTTTAAAATATTTCATTTACATTAAATAATTCAAAAAATGCTAGTTTTCCTTTCGTAAAGATGTTTCTGTAACGGCTTTTGAATTTTATTTGCAAATTTTTATGAAAATTAAATGATTTATAATAAAAGGTTCATACAAAACGTGGTACTTCATTCATGTAATACAGAGAAGGCATAAAGAGTTGGTACTTTATGGGATATTTCCTTTTTAAACTATTCTGAACATATATTACGTAGATAACCTACCATTTTTTTTTACATAACAAATTACTGTACCATTTTTTGAATGGCATTTCAAAAACATTTCTAACTGAAACAGCACCCACAATAATGGCACAAAAAAGGTGCCTTACTCCCTAATCCAGCTTTACTTCATGTATTACTCTCACAGTTTGTGTTATTGTTGTTAGGCTTCATTAATCACTGTACATTCCTTTTTCTCCGACTAAACGGTAATAATAAACCCCAACATCAGTAATAAATCCCAAGTTCATACCATATATTTGTAATTTTGGCCTTCATGATGTCAGCTAAGGGACCCAATAACTCAAAGGCAAGGGAGGTCAGTCAAATTTTGACAACTTCAGGGGGTGCCAGTGAAAGTGTCACAAATCTCAGGGGAGGTTTCTTAAATTATCCCTAATAAATATATTACAAACCACATTGTAATTGATAGTTATTGGCTAATTAAATATGTTGGTACAAATGTATTACTAAAGTTACTCGAACTAATTAATAATTTCTATTAGTAAATATGTATAATTAGTAGTATAATTCATAATATTAATTATATTACATAAATTAATGTACATATATAATATAATACATATAACTAATAATACCATTGTTATTGGTGCACTGAAGAGACGCATAAGCATTGTGAGCAATGAAAATAGATGGGGAGAAACAGAAGTTACTGTTCCTACACATGAATGGAACGATGGGCAAAAGAAAAGGCGTTGGGCCTTATGGTCATTGGTTAGAATAGCAAGCCGAGGAACAAACAGCCCAATCGTAAAAGCAGTTTATAGCAGCAGCGTACGGCACCAGTTTACAAAAGCTGGGCAACTGAAGCTGATTCCCAGGTAGCCACTTCGGAAAACGTCTATCCCACGAAGAGATTTTGCGCAACATACGATTCCACTTAATTTCGTATTTACAAAAAAAGGAACAAGTTTGGCTCGTCTAATAAACAATTTGTCAACTACTTACTCTCCTATTAACCAAGTGCAGTAGCGGTATTTGCTACAGCAGTGCTTACGACGCAACCTTGACAGTCATGCATCTTGTGATCCTTCTGTGCATGACCCCTTCGGTGGAACTACAATGACTTACCCATCTACACCTAGCAACCTTGAATAATCTTCACCCCACCGATACATAACAAAACACAATCCCTAAAGCCGGTGTTGCTCTATAACCTGTCTGTCGTCACGGCTGCTACTTCCATGCACAACCATACCATCTCTTTCAACCTCTGCATTTCACACCTAGAAGAATATATAATAGGATTTACACACGCAACGGCAGTGAAATAAGAACAACAAAGCCATTTACCAACAGGTACTGCATCAGTACAATGACTGTTTACAACCTTTCAGTGGCTGTGGTGATAACAGCTTACAATGGCCCATGACACATTCAAACTTACATTATTTACACTTCAATGGTAACGGAATCAAATTTTTTTAAACAATATACCCAGCTTTCCCCGCATTCACGAATACCTTGTAGCCTTCTCATGCTCAAGACAAATTAATGCGAAGGAAAGATACAAACCCTTCCCCTTCTACAATTTCGTACTTGTTTCATGGAAAGACTACTCTTGCACCTCGACTCACCAAAACCTGCCTTATTTATTGCGTAACTGCAAACCGAAGCATCACAACAGTAGTGCCTCATCTTTCTCCTGGACTTCTTTGTTGGCCACCTGTGTCCCTTCCACCGCTACCGAATGGTTGTGGTACAAATGCTTGTCCTCTCCATTCGCCTGAGTTGCTGCAGCCCGTACCAATTTCAAATGATTTTTCCAGCGAGTCATCCAAACAGTTTTCCATATAATCATCATCAACTGCTGTGTTGTGCGAATTCTTTTTGTATGGGCATTTTTGTTGGTTGTGGCCTGCCTGCAATCTTCAACCCATATATCACATGTCAAATCATTTGTGACTGCAAGTAATCACGTTAACCGAGCACAGTGCTAACATTACACCACTTCAACTTTCTTGCATTGCCAATAACTTTGTATACTTTGTATGCACTTTTAATTATGTGTTTATTTACTACTGTTGTTAATAAGAACGAAAAATACCCACTTCTTCATTATTACCTTCGCTGTCCACTTCATGTATTTTATCAATTAACTACTGTATAACTACGTATGCAATTCCGATAGTACCAGCAATGACCACACTTTCTTTTCTTCTTTGCTTCTGCATGCTTGTGATCACCTTTACACCGGGACACCCTAAGATCTAACAGCCCGAATGTTCTTCTACTTCTATCGTTCCTCACTCTTGAATCCATTGCAAATCCATCTCCCCCATATCCCCTATCAATCCACTTCTCCTTTAGGTCCACAGAATGCTTGTCAAACATCTGTTGCAGGTCATTAAACGCATCATCCATGTAGGAGGCATAGTAACACATAGTATTACAGCTGGACTTTAAAGTGCCATATCTGGCCATTTGTGTCAGCTGTTCGTCTGCAACAAATTCTTTCATTCCATTATTACTACAGTGAACTCCCTTTGTCCACCGCTTCGAAATGCATGCTTCTGGGATCCTGTTCATTCCTTCTACCACCATCACGCGAAACATGTGAGCACAAGGAATCCCCTTTGACTCGAATTTCATGCAAGAGCAGATTAGCTTCTCCATTGACCTATCATAATCCACCCTCCAACTTATTTCGTGTCCACCATATTTCGAGTAATAATATGTACGATTCCCTCCATCCTCGCTCCAGCCCTCAGAAATTAGAAGTCCTTGCCTGTTCAAATGCTTCCTCACCATGAAGAACACATTCCTTGTAAACACCTCCGCTGCGCTCCCCTCTAATTCGGGCAGGATTGTGGTTAAGACTGGTTTTGTGTTTTCGCTTGTGTGAACTGCTTTGCTCTCGGTATGTCGAAGCCATGCTATTGCCAAATCAAAACTTCTAACGAATTCATATAGTCGCATTTTTTCATTCAAGTACTCGTTCAAAAAAGCATTCATTTTCTCACACCTTTGAGTACTTCTCATACCTGCAAAAAAATGACCGCGTAAATAGGCCTCTGCCCATAACCTTCTCCTACGGTACAATTTCTTCACCCACTCATTCTCTACCACCCCACATTCATTAACCAACCTAGCCCACCGATCCTCAAACTCAAGAGTGCTACACTTTCTCGCCATCAGGTTATAGAACCTGTTATTAAACTCCTCGCAGCGAATATTACTCCGTGCATTTCTATGCAAGTGCCACGAACATAGCCTGTGACAAGCATCCGGGAGAAGATTCTTTATAGCTCTTCTCATTGCACTGTCCCCATCTGTCATCACTGCTACTGGCTTTCTACCTTTCATAGCCTCTACAAATGTACTTAGCACCCATTCATATGTTTCAATCCTCTCATCTGATAGCAGTGCACAGCCAAAAACAGTACTATTCAAATGGTTGTTTACCCCTACAAGTACAACTAGTGGCTTGCGGTATTTATTTGTTTTGTATGTTGTATCAAACACCAATACATCTCCAAATACACTGAAGTCCGCACGAGATTTAGAATCTGCCCAAAACAACATTGCCAATCTTCCTTCGTTATCTACATGATATTTATAAAAGAACATGTCATCGGCATCCTTCTTCGCTGCCAAGAACCCAAGTGCCCCTTCTGCATCGCCATTAAAAATATCTTTTCTACGTTCCTCGTCCATTCGGTTATACAAATCCTTAATGCAAAATCCCACGTTACTATACCCTCCGGCTTTGATAACAAAATGTTTCATTATCTGGCATATTCTGGCCCCAACCAACTTTAGACTTTTTGCCTGCGCATATTCTGCATCGCTCACTTTTCTATGCGACCTAATGTGTTGCACACTTGCCTCTGATGCCAGTGGGTGATTGTGCTCCATAATGAAACGTGTCACCACATACTTTACCGATTCTATGTCATATTTCACGCGAAAGCAAGCCCCACACCCGGTTCTTGTGATTGGTTTTGCTTCTCTTTTCCGGTCTTCATAATTAAACCACTTTTCATTCCTGTAACCTTCACAGCAACATACCCATTTTCTAAATCTTGAAATGCCATCTGCATCTCGTTTGGCATTACTTTTACGAATCCCAAATCCGCTTAGTTTCGCATACAAATTATAGAATTTCCCAGCTTCTTCTTCCGTGTCAAATGTTAATTTCATTACGTCATCCACGCCTATTGCGCCCACCAATTCATCTGCCTCCTCATCTTCGTGTCCTCCTATTGAACCACCGCTTTCTTCAATGAATGTGTTTCGGTCACACTCAGGTTCTTGGTTAAGGTCAAATGACCATAACCTGCCGCAAACATCCAACGCCATTTGATTAATTCTCTGTTTCCTGCACCATGTCATGAGTTGAGTTTTAAGCGCCCCATCCTGCCCCATAGTTACAACCCCTGTGTGGTTGTTCAATGTTTTTTCTAACCATGGTCGCTTAACATTTTCTTTTCAGCCTCCCCATATGCTTTCGTTTGTAACATAAATACTGCTCGTCTACTAATGGAACAAAACATATATACACGATCATTTCAGTTAACAAACCATACTTTACCTCACAACTTTCACAAAATGCACCCGATAAACATTACTCTCACATTCATATACACAGTTTTTATAAGTGTGGCTGATGCAATTATATCAACCTTTAGCATAAAATACCACTATCGACATGCATTTTCATTAACACCCACAAACTCAACCTCTACTGTGTGTTTCTTTAATTCTTTTCACATAAGCATTCGCAATGCAGTATGGGGGCCATTATCCATGTCCACACGGCCATCCAAATCACTCTGTTTTAAGACTTTAGTCCTGTTACAACGTCTTCTTCACGTCTTCACTCATTTCTGCTTAATTTCCTTTACACAATTTAATACAAATTAGAGGACCAACATTTCTTACGTACGTACACAAAGCTCAGTGCACAAACAAACTACGATAATATCCCGGTTTCGTTTCATCTTTGTTCGAAGACGCAGGGTCTTACACCCCGTATTTCGTATTCCTTATTCCTCTATCATTTCCTCTTACAACAACTGTAGAAATCACCCTACTAGACGTACTTTACTCGTTATTCTAATCCATTTTTCAAAGTTGTGGACAAAAGTACTCACCTTTGATTTCTCTGCTTCTGTTCCACGCCGCTGCAGTCTGTCACCACAGCTTCGGAAGGGCTTTCCTCAGATGTATCTACCGTCACCGCCTGCGCCTGAATTTACGCCAGTAGACACCACCTCTTTACCAAATTTTTGCCTACCATTCCGACCTCGCCACCTGTCTTCAAACACACGCATCACCGCGGGCCCCAACATGGCTCTGTGTTTAGTATCTAATACGCTTCCTCTTCGGTGGCCCCACCATGGCTTTGTTTAGTACCGCTTACGCTTCGTCTTCGGTGTTTCATACAACAGAACCGACACCGCAATTTTTATGCTTTCCGATAAATTATTTTTTTTTCAAGGAAATTGGGTTCTCCTAACTGTGTGATGGACGAAAGCCGTAAAGAGCTGGTCGTTTATAAGACAACCGTTTTAACTACATTTTATCCCATAACCCAACATTTGTATTTAAGGCACGTTGGGTACTCTGTCATTGTAATGGTTGAAAGGCACAAAGAGCTGGTCTTTTACTCACCAACGGGTTTAATTGCATTTCATCCGATAAATCAGTCTGTCTTTATGGCACCTTGGGTATTATGTTGTTGTAATGGAAAAAAGCCAAGGGGAGATGAAACTTTTGAACTGAGACACACGTTTGAATATAATAATGGTCCTCAAAATGGATTTAATCTTTAGTTGTAGTCCAGGAAAGCCGTAAAGAGTTGGCTGTTTATTCAAAAATGCATTTAAATATGATATTCCGTTGTTAAAATGCATTTAAAATGCAATCGCTAACATTTGTATTCAACGAAAATGGGTTATTCCGTTGTTATTATGGACGAAAGAGTTGAAAATTGGGGTTGTTTTAATAAAGTTACGGGTTTATTTTTACTCCTTAGCCCATTATATTTATGTTAATTCCGTTTCACCCCAATGCATTTCCAGCTTGTGCAGTACGCTACATTTCCAATGTCCAAACCGCGGTTAAAGGTCATCACTTCCTTTTCTGGAATTATTCCCTTTCGGGTCCGTACTTGTCAGCCTGCAACGTGGAGGCTTCTTTGCCATATTATCTGCTTTCCACACGTATCTTCTCCCTTTGTGAATGCACTACAGAAATTACCTCAAATCATATCATGAAATAGCTAAAATCACCGAAATAGACGTGTGTGTTCATATATCGATTTAGATTTCCTTTTTATAGTTGGCCCCATCAAACTTGCTCTGGTTAAGTAAAACATAGATCAGAGCACCTTTTGAAGAGTTAATTTGAAAGTGTATGAAGCAGTTAGTGAAATTAGTTTGTATGTATAACCCCTTTTGAAGTCCAAAGTCCAGACTTGAAGGTTCTTGTTGCATTTCTTTTCTTTTCTTTTTTTCTAAATTCTCAGTCTGTATGCATGACTTTCTCAAATGAAATTTGGTTCTTGATCTTAGAAATGCATATGATTTTTATTCTTGAGCTAGTTTCTCAATCGTGAATTTGCCAATGGAAAAATTTTTCAGAAAATAAGGAGCATCTCAACCTTAGCCACAGATTAATGTGCCTTTAGTCAATAAACAGGTTTAGTAAGCACATGCTAGTGCTGTCAGTGCCTTAAAGTGTTAAGTTTACAATAAAAATTTAGATCCATTTAAAATTAGTGGGCTGTTTTGGGTGGGTTATTAGTGGGTGGGTATGGACGAATTTACGTAATTGGGCTGTGATTGACACTTTCCTCCATCAAACTTGTTCTGGTTCAATAAGACATAGAACAGAGCATCTGCAAAAGAAAAAAAAAAAGGGCAGTCTTCATTAAGTTAATATTGAAGTGTATGAAGCACAAAAGATGAAGTTAGTCAAATTAGTAAAGCGTGGATAACACCTTTCAAAGTCCAAAGTCCACACTTGAAGGTGCAGCGTGCATTTATTTTTTTCTTCTAAATTCTCAGTTTGTATGCATATTTTTCTCAAATGAAATTTGATTCTTGATCTCAGAAATGCATGCCTGAAAAATATAATATTATTCTTGAACTAGTTTCTCAATTTTGTATTTACAAATGAAAAAGTTTTCAGAAAATAAGGGATTTTGCCCATCTTAACCTTAACTGCACTAGAGATTAATGCCTTTAGTCAATAAACAGGCTTAGTAATCATATGTAAGTGCCTTCGGTCCCTGGAATAGAAACATATATAATGCAAGAAAACAAGCGAAATATATTTCTTGACTGTTAGCGTCAACAGAAAGCATGCAAAATAGGATCATAAAGGAAGGATAGCTCAAGTATTATTTCACATAATATTACGCTTGTATTATAAACACATTTCCCAACCTACCTTTGATATTTTTAACTACCTTTTTATCTCACATACATCACATCACAAAAAGTGTTACAGTAATTATTCCAATTAATATTTCAAATAATACTCTATCCAAACACACTAACTATTCAAGCTTATTTACAACTTATTATTTTCTATTGAAGTGAAATTAGAGTCACCGTTTCTCCAAAAAAAAAAAACTACAGTCACCTTACTCAAAGGAAATTATAATACGTTGCTTGCATCTTTGATCTTTCTTGATTTGTACTCATGCATAGGTTTTTTCTATCAAACAAAAAAATTGCATATAATTTCATCCATGCCATTGAAAGAACTTGATAAACAATATGTAAATAAAAATTTCATCTATGCCATTGAAAGCATAAGAGAATATTTATTCTTACTAGAAAAGTGCATGTGCTCCGAACTTGTCCAAGTGACGATTAATTAGAATGATTCAAAATATAATGAATAAATAATGACATTGTAGGCCAAAAAAAAAAAGGCAAAATTGATAGAGTGACATAGTACGAACTATGGTTTGATTGAGTAAGGTGTTCTCATGGCTTCTACTTTTGCAATCCTCTAGGAAATTATTTTGACTATATGATCATTACTTTTCATGTTTTGGTATTTACGTGGTCTTTTGAGTTTTTGCCTTCATCACCTTTGATTTCTCTTCGCTCTTCCTGTGTTTGATATGTTTTGTTTTTGGATGCAAATTGTTGTTTCCTTTGGTTGTTTGTTTTAGCTGTACTTCTGCAACAACGGCCAACTATACTTGTTATGGTGCTTGTGTTCTTTATCTGATTTTACCCCAAAGGGCCAAGCAATCTGATGTTTTACAAAATTGAATTTGAATCCTCCCTCGATTTTGGAAGTAAATAACTCTTAAGCAATTCTTTGTGATTTTCAATAGGAGCTACCTTAATCTTGCCATTATCACAACACAGAAACTTGACAGGGTCGCAATGAACACTGTTTGGAACATGTTTCATTTCATGCGATTCAGATACCTCAGTAACATCTTAAATCCTACTTGTAACATTACCCTACTTGTAACATCTTAAATCCATATGTTTTTCCTTGAGAGAATTTTTTTTTAAGCAAATGAGGACCATTTAGTCTAATGAAGTAAATTCGCTCGGAACTTCATTTATACAAAATTAATACTTAATATAATACATAGCAATTTGTACAAAGATCTTATTGGCTAGAAAAAAACTATCATGTTAATCTTGATTGTACGGTAGTTATGAACAAATCTATTACCCTCCGTATGATGAAATGCCTAGTAATATTTTTCTTTTAGTATCATGAAATGCTTAGTAGACAAAAATTTGAAATTTAGAATATGGATTTCTTTGGTAGGTTTTACAAGTGGTGGAAACATCTTATTATATTCTAGAATAATCAACCATTTTGTTATATTCAAAATAATTTATTTGGGCAATTAGTGGAAAAAAATAGGGGTAGGATATTAATCTGAATTGATTTTTTTTAGTGGAGCATACTTGAAGAAAGAAGGGATGTAATACCTGTAAATGATTTGGAGATATTAGTTTGTTCATTTTGTTTTCTCTTAGTCCTAGTTAGTAGGCATTTGTAGTGTGCTTATATAATGCTCGTTCTCACGTATCATACAACAAACTCCACATTTCCTAGATTTCAAAAATACTTAGAAAAATACTCATACTTTTCAATTAACTCTATGAAACACGTAATAAATTTTTGCCATGTATTATACTTCGTGAATTATATTTCAATTTTTTTAAAAAAATAAAATTTAATGATAATGACATGGTCGTGAGTTATACACAAAATAAGAACACATATAATATAACAATTACAGATTTATACATATTTAAATAATATGGTAAAATTTTTTAATAAATTTAACATCTCATACATTAAAATAAGTTTAAGATTGGTATAGAAGTGGCATATTCTTTGAAAACTATTGTAAATTTATCTAAATTTTTAGT